TGTGTGTGTGTGTGTGTGTGTGTGTGTGTGTGTGTGTGTGTGTGTGTAGCGACTCTCCATCATCTCCTAGCAGAGGATCCATTAGCCCTGGACCCCCTCCCCGGTTGCCCAGTGATAAAGTAAACAAAGTGTGTTTGGCCAATACGGCATGCAAATATTTGTTCTGGAAGCTACCTCGTCCTACGAGACACACACACACGTCTGCAGCCGTGTGCTGAGGTATATATACAGTGGCGAGACTGACGGTCCAGTATTACATATGCAAACACACATACAGAAAAGTGGATCCATCAATGACCCAGGACAGACCTTTCCTCGGACTTCAACACAGATTCACCTGAACCTGGCAGCTACGGTAATACAACTTTAACTTTTTTTGACCAAGTTTAAGTCATTATCTTGTCAACAACAAACTATTATTACTTTTTTTCTTCTGTAGTTGACTCTTCAGTGTTGAGAAGCCAGCATGGCGGCAGGCGTCATTAGAAACTTCCTCATTCAGGCCCCGAATCCAGCCTACTTCCCCCTGATTTTTCAGCACTCTCCATGCAAGGAAGACAAAGGTGTGGAGATGCTGGAGGAAAAACTGGAGATGAGGGAAGATGAGGAAGAAAGAGAGGTAGATGAGGAGGATGATGAAGAATCTGAAGCTCAGGAGGAAGAGGAGGAATGCTTGGAGGTTTTCCTAAATCCTGCCAACTACGCTTTGGATGTGACCAAGCAGTTGCTGAGGTTTGCGGATCTCATCAGCCGTGACGTCCAGCGGTATTTCGGCCGCTGCTCTGGTGATCAAGAAGCTTGTGACATCTACAGTGACTCGGTCTCCGCCACGACCAGTGGGCGTCTGCGTTACTATGATGACCTGCTGAAAATTGCAAGAGCGGGAAGCCCAGAGGAGCAAGAAAACAGCGCGGTGACTTGTGCTGACGACCAAGGAGTTGGAGTTGCGAAGGGCAACAGCAGTTTGGGGCCCTTAGCTGAACTGTTCAACCAAAGGGGCCAGAGTCAGGGCCGCAGCCGACCGATGATCAAGCGGCTTCTCCCGCTCAGTTTCTGGACTGAGCCGATCCCCTGCTGCTCTCTGGTCAGTTTCAGCAACACACCTGACGTCGCGCACACACACGGTGACACACCTGCACAGGACAGCACGCACACAGACTCTAACACACACACGCACTGCAACCCGATCCCACATCACAGCACACACGCACTGGAAAACACTCAGCTGGACTTCAGTGACTTGCTGGCATACTGGGATCCAAACCCAGAGCTCACACACACACTGACGGAGAACACACACATGCAGCATTAAACACAACGGCTTTATTCACATCCTTTTCAACTTTGATTGATACTTGTAAACATTTTAATAAAAAAGTTTTAAAAAACAGAAACAAATCAATATGTGTTGTGCTAATTTTTCTTCTGGCAGCTTGTCACTGCAGCTTATCATTTATCTGATGTTTGTTCTAAACGATCGGTTTCCCAAAATTACAAAATACATGTTTTCTTTTTTACCTCTAGTTGTTTTTAATCATACAGACAGTTCAACGCTGTTGAAGCAAAATCAAATTGTTTCAGGAATTGAAAATTGCCTTATTCTTTTTAGTTTTTGCTGACCTCAGTGCTTTAACTTCCCACCTTGCTGCTGTGATGTACAGGTGTACTTCAGGACATCCTGACGTCACAGTCGGGTGTGGTTACAGGTTTTCTGTGAAGAACCAGTAAAGCTGGGCGTGGTCAGAGGGGAAACGGGCTCAACCGGAGAGGGCAGTGAAACCCTTTACAGCCTCCGGTTACTCTAAAGAAAAATCTATTTTCGCCAAGTTTTTTGATTGAAATCAACTTGTTTCAAGTATTTCTTACAGTCATTTTGTATTGAGCAGCACAAATATAATTAATTTGACCTCCGTTGTTTTGAAGTGGGGGCAGTTGAGCTAGATATCTCAAAGCTTAAGCACATTCAGCAAAACCAAAACAATCTGCACAACCAGACACCACTACATTGGGTTAACAGACCCTTTAAATGGGATTAAAATACATAACCATCCCTAGAGCAACATGTAGCATGAATCTGCTTACAATTTCATTGCTCATTTCCAAATAGCCCTCAAGCCTGGATTTTCCAAGTCCTGTCTTTTCTGTTAAGCGGTAACGAGAAGAGAGAGATGAAAGTGTTTGCTTTGTTTAAAACAGAAATAGTGAGATAAAAGAGACATGTAAAATAGGGAGAGATAAAAATCCACATGTGCTCTCAATGCTTTTAGTCAAACGCGGGTCTGATAAGGCCCAGAGAGGAGTGACAAATTAAAGAATTATACTCCTGTACATGCTAACATCTGGCGGGTGTCGGGGTCTGAAAGCTAAAGATGCAATAAAGAAAAATAATCAAGAAAAAGATCAAGTGGGAGGAGAGAAAGAGTTCCAGAAAGTAAGAGCTCAGTCAGTTTTCCCAATTCTGAATCGACAGGGCAGTATTTGATTGGTTCAGACTGGAACGAGTCCCCTGCAGGCGCACCATCTGATTGGTTGAGAGGGAAGGCCAGTGACATTTTGACACACATCCATCTTGGACACATAAAGGTACAAACTTTCAGTGACACATGTGAGGAGGCACCAGAGCAAGGTAGAGAAAACGCAGACATGAGGACGCACACTCTTTTGACCGTAGCGCTGCTGGGCCTGCTGCTGTGGACCTCCTGCTCCCAGGCAAGCGACACAGAATCCAAAGAAGAAGAAACACAAGAAGACTCATCGAAGGAGACGGAGACGACAGAAGAGACTCCAGGAGAGGAGGGGGAAACCGAAGAGGCAACAAAAAAAGAGAAAACAACGGAGATAGAGGAGGAGAACAATGTGATGGTTCTCCACAACATCAACTTTGACAGAGCTCTCAGCGAGAATCAATATCTACTGGTTGAATTCTGTAAGTAGTCACATTTATATTACGTTTGTGATGCTTTTTAGCACAAACATCATGTTTGGCTAAAGTGGACCGTCATTGATTGTTAAAAGATGCCAACTTGATTAAAATACACATGGAGGTTTATCCTTGGGAACACAAATGAAGCTGGAGAAGGACATGGGTTACAACTGAAAGCTTCAGGAAGAGCTCAGAGCTTGAGTTTAGAGTATTTATCACAGTATAAATGTCATTTTCTCTGTTCTGGCTCTCATGAGCACTGAGGCGTTATCTTAAGAACGTGCAAACACGTGGCCTCTCCTGTCCAGATGCTCACTTGGTTTAACTCTCCCACAGTTGAGCTCAGCCCTGCCAGTGGAGAGGACTGGACGAGGAAAAGATATAAAGGCTGAGCCAAACTGCCACAGTTGCTATCAGCAGCTTATTTACATGTGTATCTTTGCATGCGATGGCACCAAAAAGAGAACTGAACAGAGTAGCTGCATGTCTACTGATTTGATTATTGATTTTCAGTATTTATTCCATGCTGTATAAACACATCAACTACATATTTGTGTTTGTGTGTGTGTGTGTGTAGATGCTACCTGGTGTGGCCACTGTAAAGAGCTGGAGCCTATTTACGCTGAGGTTGCTGGGATGTTGAAGGAGGAGGGATCGGCGATGCGTTTGGCCAAAGTGGAGGCCACAGAGGAGCCTGAGCTGACCCTGGAGTTTGAGATCCAAGGCTTCCCTGTTCTGGAACTGTTCATAAATGGAGACCGCAAGAAACCCATCAAATACACTGGTAAACACACACACACACACACACACACACACACAATGACCGTAGGTTATTTGATTGGATCAACGTTTTTTCTATACCTTTTAATGTTTGAGCAAATCAACTGTATTTTATTTCATCTAGTTACATTTTATGTTTCCTTCCACATCTAATTAAAGATTTTTTGGGGGGAAATTTGATAATTTATTTATTTTCCTTGATGGCAACATTGAGACCACTCCCATGTTTGTGTGTTAACTGTGAAGCTTTACCCAGGAGAGCATTAGCTTAGTGGAAAGTGTGAAATGTTTACATATCAACTGTAAATTTTAGCAATTGTCATGACTTTCAATCGAAAAAAAATCCCCATATCATTTAGTACACAGAAGTTTTTTTTCATGGCATTGTGTAAACAAACAAAGCATTTAAAGGGTTACAAATGTGAAAATAAATGACTTTTTGACACATAAATCTGTGTCCACTTAAGAACATCAGAGCAACTTATTTAAAGTGAGGCACAAGGGCAGAGAAATAGTCCAGCAGCACCAAACCCCCTGTAAGCCACATCTGTTTGCACAAGAAGTAAACAAACAAGATAAAATGTCTTATTTCGTGAGTTTTACAGGTGTTTTTGAACTGTGGACAGAGTTTAGCTGTTCCCACCTGTTTCCAGTCTGCAGCTCCAGCTACACAGTCCCTTTTGTTTTTCTTTCTATCTTACATCTTGATGTGTTACATGACGTGATTTAATTTGTTTGTGTGTGATTTCCAGGTAAAAGGTCAAAAGAGGGAATAATCCAGTGGATGAAGCGTCATGCAGGCCCCGGTGCTCCGGTGCTCGACTCAGCTGACTCTGCAGCTCAGTTCATCGAGTCCCATAACATCACTGTTGTAGGATTCTTTGACGTACGTTTATCTATCCTTACTAATAAATCACATGATCACATATTTATGTTTACATTCACATTTATATTTTCATTCGTATCTTTATCAGAACCTGGAAAGTGAGGCGGCCAAGGTGTTCAAGGCGCTTGCTCTCAATTTTGATGACGCAGAGTTTGCTCTGTCAGCGAGTCCAGAGGTTTTCCTGAAGTATGAAGTTAAAGCCAACTCAGTGGTGCTTTTCAAAAAGGTACGAAAATGTTGTGATACTAACTGAGATGCACATAGTCAAGTGTTTTATAGAAAGACTGAACCAAGATACAAGAAGCTGAGACGATGTTAGCTTTGCTGCCATCTAGTGCAAACAGTGTGTTCCTTTTTGAGGAGTAAATGTCCTCACAAGGATGGAAAGATGAGGATATTTTGCTGATTCTGACTTCTTTAAAAAGAAAATTCTAACTTTAGGATTTACAGTCTTGACATGGCTTAAGTTAGGTTTAGGGATACATTTAGCCATATAAACAAAGGTAAAGAAAAAGATTAGGCCTGCCACTACTGTATTGATTTTTTATTATTATTATTATGTAGGAATCCATCAGTTATTATTTCAATTAGTCAATGAAATTTCAGAAAATAGCCAGGACGACTATAGAAATTAATTATTTTATATATTATTTATTAAATTAGTTTGTGTTTCATCCTTTGTCATGCTTCAGTTTATGCACAACAACTTGTTTGTCTTACATAGGAGAGATATATAACAGAGAAAAGCAGAAAAATCAGCAACTGTTTGCAAAACAAACGTTTGTGTGTTTAGTTTGACGAAGGCAGAGCGGACTTTCCGTTGTCAGAAGAAGGAGTGCTGAACCCAGAAAATCTGACCGCCTTCATCAAGCAAAACAGCCTGGAGCTGGTCATCTCATTCCGCCCGGAGGTAACACACACACACACACATACACACACACACACACACTGTTAGAAATTTTAAATTAAATGAGAAATTATATTTGAAGTTGTATTATACAGTATGTGTGTGTTTTCAGACTGTAGAGCTGATCTTCAACTCTGGCATCCATCTGCACAGCCTGCTGTTCATCAACTCCGCTGTGGAGAGTCAGACAGCCCTGGTGGACAAATCCAGGACCATTGCCAAAGAGTTCAAGGGCAAGGTATCTGTGTGTGTGGCTAGGGAAGTGTGTCTTTGAAGGAAAGTCGGTGACATAAATCTCAATGTAACCTTTTTGTCATTGCTTTTTTTGTCGTCTCTTTATGTCGGTGTGTGTGTGTGTGTGTGTGTGTGTGATGTAGATGCTGTTCGTTGTGATTGACGTAGCAGCAGCTTTGGATAATGTGCTCAATTACTTCGGCGTGTCCAAGACAGACGCCCCCACCGTGCGCCTCATTGACATGGAAACAGGGAAGAAGTTCAGCATCGCTGCCGGCGATCTCTCCATAGATTCACTGAGACAGTTGTGCCAGGATGTTGCTGCCGGCAGTGCCAAGGTATAACAAGCACACATGAGTTTGATATTCAGCCACGCTGCAGCATTAGACCCAATAACTAATAATGTTGTCATTGTGGTGCAGCCTTACTATCGGTCTGAGGAGATCCCAGAGGACTGGAATAAAGGACCAGTCAAAGTCCTGGTGGGAAAGAATTTTGAGTCCGTTGCTCTGGACCCGACCAAAAACGTCTTTGTGGAGTTCTGTAAGTTCGTCTGTCTGTCAGTCTGCGCTGTAAAAACTCAAATGGAAATTGGCTAAATCAACTCATCTTTTATTATTGTGAATTTTAAATTCTCCATTTTCGACCATGAAACCATTAGCTCTTGAGTTAAATAATGAGTTGAAATGATGTCCTGCTCAGTGTTCACTCACTCATCTAATTACGCTTCTTAAGAAACACTGGCTGCATCTGAAATCAACAGCCAGTGTGTTTGTGCTGCCTTTGTATCATATAGGAAATACTGAGAACAAATATCAATACTGAGAATAAATATTAATACTCAGAAAAACACGTTAATGAAAACTGTTACCTGTATTTTTTCTTCTAACAGCACTATATATATATATATTTGTGTGTGTGTGTGTGTGTGTGTGTGTGTGTGTGTAGATGCTCCATGGTGTGGACACTGTAAGGATCTGACTCCCATCTGGGAACAGCTGGGCGAAAAGTACTCCGACAGAGATGACATCATCATAGCCAAGATGGATGCCACTGCCAATGAGGTGGAGTCGTTAACCATTTCGGGATTCCCAACTCTCAAATACTTCCCAGCTGATGGCAAAGAGGTAGCATACATGTTCAAACTTACACACATGTTCAGAGCACAAGCACTGCATACAGACTCAAAGAGCTTTTGATTATTTCCCAACCTGCCCTCCATCATTTCTTCTTCTTCTCTCTGTTAGGTGGTCGACTACACTGGAAACAGGGATCTGGAGACCTTCTCTCGGTTCCTGGAGGATGGAGTGTTGCCTACTGAAAGTAATGAGGAGGAAGATGAGTTTGACAAGGAAGGTGGTGGTGGTGGTGATGATGAGGTCTGTATTTTTACCGCTACCTTATATATTTCTCTTTTTATTATAATCCACTCGCCAGTCTCTCATTGTATTTACTTCTTCTTCTCTGTTTCAGGAGGTTGCTGAGTCTGCAGAGGTACCGACCAACACAACATCTAAGGATGAGCTGTGATGTCACTTTGGTTTTTTTCAACCAATCAGTATCTTACAATTTTTCTTAATAAAATTAATTTAGGTTAAAAACATCAATATGTAGCTACTCATTACTATTTTGAATGGCTTTCAAACTCTGTTTCAGTTTGTCTTGATACTTGACATGATTTTCTACAGCACAATCGTCACTGTATGTAAATATTACATTTAGTTTTTCTAAATGTCATGAATAAAAATCAAGACATTGTTAAGTTTGACTGGGACTCTTTCTGACTTTTCACAGTGATGAAAAACACAAGTAAGTTTAACAAACAAGATAGTTTTGTGATAAATTAATCGGAAGCATCTACATGCGCCATGAAAGTCAACAGTGGAAAAACAAATAAGGGGGAAAATATGCTGATAAGGATGAGATTAAAAAGGTGATGGAAACAAATGGAAGGAGAGTGGAACACGAAAAAGAAGCAAAGATCTTCAAAATCAATCAGTGACTTTGTTCAGGAGGAAGTAGATTGAAGGATATAAACACTGTTGTCTCTCATTCCCAAGTGACGTCGGCAAAACGGAGCATTTTCGCATTTTCTGAGAACATCTTGTCGAACATGGATTAAGAAGAGACAAACAGAAATGACAGTTTTAGTATGTACTCATGGTAATTGGCAAAAAATACGTTACTACCTAGTGTGAGTACCAAGATACAGTCTAACGAGACTGTAAGAGTCCACAGCTCTGTGAGGCCTTTAGCTCAACGCTAACATCAGCATGCTAACAGGCCCACAATGCTATTTGATCTAATGGTAACAAGGGAATGACAGTTTTCTTAAATGTCACGTTTTATATGATATGACAAAGAAGAAAAAAATTAAGTATGACCTGAAGGGTGAGAGGGCGGTTAAATCAGGCATTTTCATAAAAATAAATGTTTTATTTTGATATGAAGTGAACTCCTAAGTCTGTTATGAAAATAAGAATGATGAAATTGCAATTCACAATGAGTTGAGTTTTAAAAATCTTTATATTTATCCGTTTATATATTTCATTTTGAAGACTTTGGGGCTTCCATAGCTTATAACTACATCGTACTAAATAAGGGAGGTTAAAATAAAGAGCTGGAAGTTTTGATGCCTTTTTATGCTTTCACCATGTAAAAAGAAAAAAGTCTTTAGCACACCAATTCATAAAGAATAGGTTAAATAACTCCCATTATACCTTGTTTGAACCAAGATACTGTGAATATTTGGTGATTACTATGTAGCAGCTATAAATGCAAAGACTCAGGTAATCATTGGTTTATACTCAAGTTTTCTACAGAGCTATTAAGTTATTTCTTTATTTTCACTTGTAGCTTTTCAAACAATTACTGCATAGATATCCTGTCAATACCTTTACATCCACAGTTTTGATTCCATTTAATTTATTAGTAAACCATTTATAATATTCTAAGCAAGTATTATTATATCATGTCTTGATAATTGCTGTACTGTAAATGAAGTGCCACCAGAGCATGAGGTGGCAGATCCATATGAGGAAAAGAAGGTGAGTTTGTACAAGCTAAACAGGTGAAGAGGGTTTGGTTTTCAGGGAAGTCAAATGTTTCTAATTCCAGAGGAGAACAGGTTCAACAGGCTTTGCCGTCACGACTGTCACCAACATGGGACACGATTCAGCCGAGCTTCCTCATATATCCAAGGTAAGACCACTGCTCTGATACATCTCACACATCACACTGTTTAATTAGCGACAGCGGACACGTACGACCGCCAACAGGCGGTTTGTTTATGGCAGAGGCAGGTCTGCTCGTGTTTGGATCAGATCACGGCTTTGGCTCTGTTTGCATCAGTAAAGAAAGTCTCATGTGAGCTAAATGTACTTGGCTGCATTCAGCAGGTGTGTTTGATGGCTGATACTGTTGGTTTGACAGAGTTTCATACTGATACTGTTGTTTTTAGGAGACTTATTGGCATTAAAGCATATTTTGGATAAGCAGTGATGTGGAATCACATGACTCAGCATTAACTGTGTTCATACTATTGTAACATTGAGTTCTTTGAACTATTGAGTGTTTTATTGAGCTTTTGGTTTGTGTTAAGATCATAGTATGACGTACAATAATAAGTAGTAATACTTAATGTAGTGGTGGAATGTAACTACAGTAAGTACAATATTGAGGTACTTGAGTATTTCCATTTTATGCTTCTTTGTAGATTCAACAAACAATTGATGATGTATTATTATGGATTAAGCTACCCAGCCGAATCTAATGAAACTAATGAAAATCTAATGAGAGTAAAACATATGTTCTCTCTGAATCTACTTTACAACATTTCTATCTGTGTATATATAAAGTGTTTCTGAATTTAAAACGTAACTTAGTCTGTACAGTATTGGCACCAGACGAGGAGATGAAATTGCCAATATTTATTTCAGTAATTGAGACAACATTAACTGGGTGTCTACTTTGTCTTCGTACTGACTAAACAAAAATGCCGCAGTGCGTGCTGTGTTGTTTTGACACTGTCACATTAAACCTCACCAGTTCAGACTGGTGAACACACTGAGATCCCAAGCGTGCCTCTCTCTATTGTTGATACCGGTTACTCCCACAACAGAATCGAGCTGCCTAGTTCATTGTCCTCACATACACTGGGCTGGTAAACAGAAGCAGTTTTTGCCAGTTTAGGAGCTCAATAAAGATGGCAGCGACCGTCACTTGGTGGAGCACTTAAATAGAAAATCTGCAACTAGAGTCCGGATCTACATGATGTGACACGTGATAGTTTTCAGTTAACTGAGTGCAACACTTCATTAGAAAGCAGTAAAATGTTCAAAGACACCCTACAATGTAATGAAATCCTTAAAATAATTCTGGATCTGGATCTACACCACCAAAAAAACAAATCGCTTGTTGTTTGACAAAATGATTTTAAATTCCTAGCCTTTAAACTCCTTTTCAAAGGCCCTGTTCAGTATCTGGTGAATGAAGATGATTTTTCTCCGGTCGTCCACTGACTCCTTTATCACTTTGACTCCGAGTGGATGCTGTGACCAGCGGTGCTTCATTGTTCACACACAGCTGTTAATTCCGGTCTCAATTCAATCTCTTTGACAACTGAGCGAATAACATCGGCCAAGATTAGCAAAAAAACAATAGAACATTAATATAAACATATATGAACAATAGAGAAATAATTATCAAGTGTAAAAGAAAGTAAAAAATTAACTAAAATAGAAATAGTAAATTACAACAACAAAAAATTCAAAACAAGAGTGAAAATAAAACGTGTATAAGAAGTAAAACTAACACCATTGCCGAATAGAAAGTAAAATAGAAAAGTAAGTAATATTGTGCATGATGTTGAAAAAGTAAAAAAACATCCTCATGAAGACGAATTGCAGGTAAATAACATGTAACAACAGGTTTTTACTAAAGTAAACACCATCAGGTTCACCACATGTGAATTATCCGCCTCTCCTCTCTATCAAGCTTCCTGTTTGACTGGATGATCTTCTGATGGAACCTCCTTCGTATGAGGAGGCCAGTCTACACCCTCCTGCTCTGGGCACAGCACCATTCAACATCCTCCCTCCCCCCTACTACCACGCCTCCCTGCACTCACCCCCAACACCTCCTCCCACCTATAGAGAAGCAGGTAAGATAAAATCTCTCTTTCCCCATTTATTTCATCCACACCAAGCCGGCTAAATTTGAAAATGCATCGTTTGTTTCTATGTCTCGGCCCTCTGTCCACACAAAATTTGTATTTCTCTCACCCGAAAACTGAACCTTCTTAATACAGTATTCAGATCTCAAAATTAAAAAGCATGAAAGATAATTGCAGAGAGCAGAAGGGGACAGAAAGGAACTCTAAGGAGCTGAGACTAAGCAAAGTAACCAGGCCATCTGTCCCAATTTTAAAACACCTTTTTTGTGTGGAAATGTTTTGCGTCCACATTTTGTAGCGATGTCAGTCCATAGAGAAACGCCTAAACAACACGAAACGACTAAATCTCTTCTTCCTTGCCCTCTTTTCAGTTGGCAGCAAACATCTGGTGAGCAGTGGGAGAGACAGCCCACCTAACCAAATCATTATTTCATGGTCGAGAAAGACGTCTTCTGACAAAATCAACATAAATGCAGATTCATGACAACAGCACTGCTGTGCAATTAAAATGAGCCATCACAGATATCCCACACATCACACATATTCATATTCCCCGGCCCTCCCTGCGCCGTTTACCCCTGAAACATTGGAGTTTTAAGATTCGTACGCTCTGGAGGTTGTTTTGATAAAGCTGCGTAAAGAGTTTTATTTAAATAGATGAATATATAAGTATTATAAAAATATATTTAAAAAACACCATTGAACAGCAATAAAATAAGAAATAAAACATATATATACAAGCCACAGATTATATAAACATATAAAAAAAAGTGTAAAGATATAATCTCTGATGGCAGCAGTAGATATTTTGGTGTTAGAGGGTTATTGACATTGTACGACTGAATAGCTGTTCATCAGAGTGAGGCCTGTGGGAAGAGACTGTGTTTGTGTCTGGTTGTTTTCATACAGTTTACAGCTTAATCTGGAGTGAGGGAAAAAGGTGCTTTTACAAATTTAATGTGGACATATTTCTTTTTTCCTAGTCAGAATCCAGCCTGATCCTTTTCCTGTACTGACTGTGCCAACTGTTGAGACGTCACGAAACTATGGAACCATAATCCATCCACTGACACAAAGTATTAAAGCTACATCTTTACTATCAATCTTAATTACACAAACCGACTGTGTGGATGGAAATAATATTTCATGTCTTTGTCCCTGATATCCTCCTCTGTCCGTCCTGTGCCTTCTGAATACCAGTTGGTGGAGCACCGTCGGCCCGCAGCCGACAAACTCAGCCAGCAGTAGTGACGACGCAGCCGTCGCCTGTTCCCATCTCTGTGAGACATCTGGGAGACGTCCCTGCTGTGGTACGCTGCCCACACTGCCACAGAGTTGTCACCACTAAAGTCACATACCTGCCTGGAAGTGCCGCCTGGTGCACATGTGTGCTTCTTGCAATGATGGGGTGAGACAAAGACACACACGTGCATGAGTATTTAACATCACAGAGCCAAACCAGCTTTAACGTCTTGTATTGTGTCTCTGCACGTTTGTGTTTGTTTCAGGTTGATCTGTGGTTGCTGTCTGATACCGTTGATGATGAAACATCTACAAGATGCACATCATTCCTGCCCACAGTGTAAAAACCAACTGCACACACACATAAGGTGACACTGTCAGGATTAATATGGCTCCTCTTGTCCCAATACCACTCATATTTCTGTCACAACAGGGAGAAATAACATGTTGTCATAAGCTAGGAATGGAAACAGCTCACTGCCCACGGGGAAGCAAGAATGTATTTAGGTGATGACAAGTGTGTGATCTAATATATATATACATTACACACTAAATATATTGATATAGGACAGAGGAGTAACTTATGCGGTTTGAGAAGTTTTTAGAAGATTTTATGACTGTAAAACTACGGGAATTCAAACTCCGCTGCTGCTTTTCACTATGAAGGAAACAATTTCCATCTTTTAACCTACAGGGGGTGACGCTATAATACCAACAATATTTAATTTTCAATTTTAATATGATCTTTCTTTTAGATGTATGAGACATTTTAAGGCACAACACACACACACACACACACACACACACACACACACACACACACACACACATTTCTAATACATAGGAGGAAGGTAGGCTTTTGTCACTTTTGACCCTCTATAAGAATGTATTGTGGGGGTTTATAGTTAAATAAATGAAGAGGAAAAGAATACTGAATCCATCCTTGCATGTGCACACGGCACCAGCGTGCAGGATGCTTTACATCATTACAACACAGAGGACATTTATGATGAACATGATGATGTCCAGCCCAGGGATTTAAGTCATAGTTGTGTTTATGTTTTTTTTTGGACAATTGTATTTTCTATAGAATATTTATACTAAAAGAACAAAATCTTTGTCTTTTTCCAAATGTATGTATATGAAGCTTACATTCATGTTTACTTTAATGAATTCAATTCAATAGCAGACATGATTGTCTTTGGTGATGAAAAACAAAGCCTTTTGGAAAACCCATTGGCTTAACATGCTCTAATTTAATTTTCTGCATATTTATAATTTTAACGGCCCTGCGCATCTAAGACAAACCCACACAGGTGATTGGCTTAAAACACTGTTAAAATAAGACTTTATTAGTACATGCCAGTGGACCTGATGTAGTTCCGGCTCTGCCCAGCTTTAGCAGGTCTAATCAACCAGAGGGAGTGAACTCACCTGTGTGGGCCTTTAAGGTACAATCTGTCAAATATTAACACAGAATTTGAAACTAACAACTTAGATTGATTTACAGAACTTTTAATACAAAGAGGTACACAAGACAATAACTAAACAACGTTTTTGGTTGCTGTAAAAAATGTTTACATCAGTAAAGTTTACTCATATTGGTTTATAATTTAAATGTATGATGAGTTGAGAAACACACAATTCTTCAGTTGTGTACACTGTGCCTAAAAGGTATCTTGTACAAATACAGAGGGGGTCTTTATGTTTGTATTGCTGCGATGCATACTTTGGTATATCACTTACCGTATGCACAGCTCCAGGTTGATTATATTATATCGTCTAACCTCTTTTTTTCCAATTTAATTTCATGTCATAGATTTACTCTGTGTTATTTCTGAGGTTTGTTAACACCAGAGATACACAAAGTGTTTGTATGTGATATAATGTATTAATTAATGAGCTTTAGAGATGCTGGTAGACAGGCTTTGTCACCTCTGGACAGAGCCAAGCTAGCTGTTTCCCTCGGTTTCCAGTCTTTATGCTAAGCTAACCGTGTCCTAGCTGTAGCTCCATATCTAGCAGACAGATACTACAGCATATGAGAGTATGGTATCAATCTTCTCATCTAAACCCCTGCAAGAAAGCAAATTAGCATATTTCCTAAACTGGTGAACTATTCCTTTAATGATATAGAATTGATATAATACAGGCCATTCTTAAAATGAATAAACACAAAATGCAGTTTGATTGATATTTGCTGGAGTGCAACCCTTCATATATCCTGTGAAATCGACCTGACGTGAAAACCGGGTTGTGTTTGAAGGATATGTGTGGCGCCTGTGCTGCTGCGTCTATGCACTCCAGCGCAATGACTGATTAAAGCACCTGCTTTCCCTGTCGTTGTTGTAGTAATGTGTGACACTTAGTATCCCAGCCAAGTTTGATTATTTTTATTTTTTTTTAATCAAAATGTTGTCATATTATTATTTATCATTCTATCATGTTGATAGGGAAATAAATATGGTCTTGGTTACTTTGATGACGCTGTCAAGGTGTTTTATTTTCGTAACGTCTGTGGAGTTTTTCATATGCTTGAGCATGTGTTTGGTGAGTGCATGCTTCCATTTTGACCTTGCTGAGGCTAACAGTGTTAGGCAAAGGGTATTTAGATATTAGTGATATACTTGATATGAAGGGCAGCCAATAGCAGAGATACAGCAGGGCTCAGATAGGGAAGTTAATCAGCTACAGACTGGTGGGTCTAGTCGGCTGATAACAAAAGCATTCACAACTCCCAGCTCAGCACTGATACACACACACACACACATACAAACACACACAAACACAAACACACACACACACACACCTACACACACACGCGCGCGCATATCAGCCCTTCATTTCACCACTCCCATCATACCTTTGTGTCAAGGTTGCTCGAGTGTCCAGTTTGTCAGTCTGTAGGTGAACAGTCATGAAGACGCTGTTGCTGCTGGGGGTGACGGCCTTCTGTCTCTGTGTGTTTGCCGCCGCTGACAAACAACCCGAGCGACACGCAGACAAATCATCCCCCGAGGAGGATGACGTTTTACAGCTGAAGAAAGGAAATTTCAACAGGGCACTGAGAAAATATAAGCAGCTGCTGGTGCACTTCTGTAAGTTTCACACAGAGACACACACAGCATGCTCTTGACCTACACGTTGATATATTGACTGTGAGCAATGACACCATAAGAGCTACCTAATGGTTTGAAAAGTGTCTTATGGATTGCAGCAAATTCACCATATCCTTATTTTTTCTTTTTACCGTCAGATGTAAAAGAAGTACTCCTAAATCTAATTTAAGTAAAAGTAAAAATCATGCATTTCAAATTTGTCTCTTTTGCCACAAAAGTGTCAAAAGAGACACTTTTGTGTCTATTTTGTGTCTCAAAAGAGACACAAAAGTGTCTCTTTTGACACTTCTTAAAAACTTAAAATAATTATTTAACATTCAAATTTGATTTCAAATTTGAATGTTAATACTCCAAAAGTATTAACATTCAAATATACTTAAAGTACCAAAATTAAAACTACTCATTTTGCAAAATGGCCCATTTCAGAATGATATTTATATTTATATATTATTTCACTGGATTATAGTGATGCAATTATTTGTTCATCACTTTATTGTTGCAGCGGGTGGAGGTGGTAAATTATCACCATATGTATGCATATGTAACGTATGCTGTAGCTTGTGAATTTCACTTGCGTGTTTAGTTTGCATTATTAAAATATTATATATCTGAATCTGGAAAGCAACTAAAGTTATCAAAATATTGTAGTGACGTAAAAAGCTCCGTATGTACAAGTAAAGTAATACTGGAATGAATGTACTTACTGTGTGTGTTTCTGTGTGTGGAGATGCTCCTCTGTCTGGAGAAGGCCATCGTATCTCAGCCGCGTTCGAAGGCGCTGCTGCAGAGCTTCAGGGGTCAGAGGTCAGACTGGCCGTGGTTGATGTGGCAAAAGAGAAAGACCTGGCCAAAGAACTCAATGTGACAGGCCTCGCCACGATCAGGCTGTACATTTCTGGAGATAAACACAACCCTGTGACTTGTCCTGGTATGTCTAAATACTCAAAACATATAGCACTCTAGAAGGGGGGGGGGGCCTTAAGGCCCTGCTAGCCCCTCCCTCCCGCCGCCATTGACACTTGCTAAGAGTCAGAGGAGAGAACTGAAACCTCTTTCATGTCTGAGTTGTACGTCGACCAGAACTGGGATAGGATTAGGTTAGCTTAGCATAAAGGCAAGCGGGAAACATCTAGCCCGACTCTCTCAACAATTAACATTTTATTTCTCGTTTGTTTAATCCTAGATTTTTGTCAGGTGAGGTTTCCAGGGAACCAACAGAGACTCCAGGAAGTCGCAGCACCTGGCTACAGGTTGCCAAGAAATAGTTACAGCATGTCAAATTTGTTGTTTTCACATTTCTGTTTGTGTGCAGATTAAACAAATGAGATAAAACATGTAAACCAATGAGCTTCGTATTCTTCTTTGGAGAGAGCCATGCTAGCTGTTTCCCCCTGTTTCCAGTCTTTATGCTAAGCTAAGCTAATATTGGATCTAGCTCAATAGTTAACACACAGACACGAGAGGGAAACAATTATTGTCATCTAACTCTCGGCAAGAAAGCAAATATGCAGATTTTCCAAAATGTCAATAGATTATTTCTTCAATATCAAGGATGAAAATGATTTGTTTTCCTGGATTGTGATGAAGTTCCTCAGAGCTCGGCGTCCATCTTAACCTGGCTGAAAAGGAGAGCGGGGTCTTCTGCTGACCTCATCGCTGATCTTAGCCAATCAGAGGCCTCAGAGGAGCTGACGGTGGTCGGCTTCTTTAAGGTGAAACCATCTGTTTAATTTTCCAGCTTCTCACTTGTGTCAATCAATTTTCTGAATAACAATTGCGTTTGCTTTTACGTGTGTGTGTGTGTGTGTGTGTGTGTAGGAGCTGAATCACGAGTACGTCCAGGTGTTTTACAATGCAGCCGTCGACCTTCCTGATATTAACTTTGCTGTGACACAGAACGATGAACTTATCACCAAATATGGTCTCACACATGACGTTGTACTAATGTTGAAAAAGGTATTTTGAATACAACATAAGCCTCCGACAGATACATGTATTTGTCTGTCTCTGCATTTTCTTAGTGCTGACTCAGTCCTTTGCATTTTGGATGCAAGTGATTGGATTTAAATAATTGAACCATCACATCAAGCTAGTAGAATATATGAATTCATCCATTGCTTTCTTACCTGTGTTTGTTTGTTTGTGTGTGTGTGTGTGTGTGTGTGTGTGTGTGTGTGTGTGTGTGTGTGTGTGTGTGTGTGTGTGTGTGTCTGCTGCAGTCTAAGCTCATCCAGGCTTACAAAATGACGCCTGAGACATCTAAAGAGATGCTGATCATTTTTATCACCGTCTACCAGATGGACCCAGTCACTGAGTACACGGGACAGGTAGAGTATTAGATGCATGGTACATTTTTGACACACATACTGTATAACTGCTCTACTTCCAAATCTGGAAATGTTCTGTGGGGTTGTGTTTTTTTTTGCATTCAAACTCTAATTAAATCGGTTACTTCACCTTTTTAATACATTAAAGAATTGTTGTCGTTGTTAGTTCGTGTGAAGATCCAATACCTCTTTTTTTAAGGCCAATCACTTGATTTTGCAGATTTTTTATTAAAAATATTTCTATTACATATGTAGTGTAGTGTAGTACGACATTGTTTTGTTTTCATAATCAAAGGCTCACTCCCTGTTGGACTGAAGGGTGGATGCAATTGTGATGGATCATTGTAAACTAAAACTTCAGTACAATTTTGTGTGTTTAGATCACACTTAAACTTAAACTTAGAGAGGTCTCTGTAGACCTTTTTTATATTTTAAAACAGATTTTTTTTCCCATTGAAATCCACTGTAAACTAAACATGAATTCAAGCAGTGTAACTAACCTAAACTGCTGTAGAACTATGGTGTAGACATAAATAACATATTGTGGCCTTGTCTTCATTCATCTTACTATGAAGAACCACTCTGGCAACATACAAGTAAAGCTACCAAATGTTAGGAACAAGTTGAATTCCCCAGGGCAAGACACCGTGTCCCAACGCAGCTGATATTTAATTCGACAGTTTGTGTTTGCTGAAATGACATTCTCTTGTTAATGGAGATGTATTTATGTTATTCTCTCTCTCTCTTGCAGACAGCCACTCAGATATTAGCATCCCCTGTGTTAAACCACGCCCTGTTGTTTGTCAACAAAAGCTCTGCTGCCTTTAAAGAGATCCACTCTGCCTTTAATGGTGCTGCAGAAGCCTTCAGGTTGAAGGTAGAAACCAAACAAATTATTTCAAACAGCAGCACTGTAGCACATATTATTTAATATTACAATAAGCCGATGGAGTACTTCACCTTTGCATGTGTATGTGTATTCAGATTTTGTTTGTGTGGGTGGACGTGGATGAGCCTCGTAACGGCAGGCTGATGGAGTACTTCCGGGTTCGGGACTTCGAGGCTCCTCTGATCCGACTGGTCAACCTGACGGACCATGTGACCTATCACCTGCCCTCTGACACTCTGGATGTACAGACCATAAAAACATTCTGCCAGTCCTACCTGCAGGGCAAGGCTAAGGTAACGCTCACTCTCATTCAGTGTGCGATGCATAGAACAGGAACTGGAGAAACAGCTTGAAACAGCCTGATATGAATAACGTGTTTGTGTTAATGTAACAGCCTAAGATGCAGAGTGAGCCGATACCTGAAGGATGGGACAAACAGCCGGTGAAGGAGCTGGTGGGAATGACTCTGGAGAACGTCGGCTTCAACCCCAACAAGACTGTTTTTGTCCTCTTCTGTATGTAAATGCACTTTTTATTTCAAAGCTACCCAGTTAGCTTTGATGTTTGGGAATTTGCAGGTGAATAGACACTTAGATACGGAGGTTCATTCTGGGCTAAATTTGGTTTAAAAGTGTAACGTTTAGGTTAACATTGTTTTAATAGTAATTTAAAGCTGGACTCCGGGATTTTTACATATAAAAGAAGGTTTGTTACATTCAATCCCTTGCCAAACAAGTTCACACGAGGCTGAGTAGGTCTATCACCTCTAGGGAAAGCTCTCTGTATTTCACAGAATACCATAGATGTGCTGTCTGGTGTCTGTGGCGACTTTCCCGCAATGGCGCAGTGAATATTGGGTTTTACCTCAGCCAGAGCTAGTAAAGAGGGCAGGAAGGGGGAAGAGACAATAGCAATGGATCAGCAGCTAGAAGTATAGTGGAACCTAAAGTATGGTGGAAGCTAAGGTGGAAAATCTCCAAAAGTGTTCAGGAAAAGTGTCTGGGTGCTACAGATTATCAAAAGAAACTCGGCATCCGGATTAAGGATTGAAGTATTAAAAAAACAAAAAACGATCAATGGCGGAGACAAACACGAATCACATGGCAAGCTCACCTTCAAGCATTCGTCATAAGCGTGCATCCACAGCTTTGTGTAATTACTCTCACTGCCAGAGGGGGAGACTATAGTTCCTCACTCCAGCTTTAAAGTTACAGTAATCTAAGTTCCCCTTAACTCCAGAGAGCATTTTAGCATCTTTCAGCTCATTGCTGTTTACTGTTTTGATTTGCTGTCATCAACACTGAATATTGTGATTTTAGCTTGTTCTGTTGTCCCCAGTGGCATAAAAAATGAATGAATGCAGATTTAAATATACAACAAACAAAATTGGCACATAGATGTTATTAGACCTTCAAATCAACAAATTCATGCTTCCTTGCTCACTACTTTTTATCACTTGCCTGCTGTATTGAAGAAGACTTGAAACTAGCGACTGAGATCATAAACTTTTGTTGTTTTCTTTGTGCTTATAGGTATAAATCTCTTACTACTTACTGTGTATTTCAGATCTTCCCTACAGTGCGGAGTCCCGTGCTCTGTTTCCACTGTGGGAGGAGTTGGCCGAGGCCACGAAGGAGCGAGAGGACGTGGTCGTCGCTCGAATCGATGCCTCAGCCAATGACATCAACATGTCAATACAGGGCAGCTACCCATCACTCTGCCTCTTCCCTGCTCTATATGCTGAAAGAGTAAGGAGCATATCAATGATTCCTTTGTTTGTTTTGTAATATATCCCATGAGTCGAATGCATAAAATAACCTAATTATTATTGTCGAATGACTGCTGAAAATGAAGGATTATGTGTGTTACCCTCTGTGGACTTGACATATATGGAGATATTAATGTGCAGTATGTGATATCTGTGTTCTTGTCAGGTGGTGGTTTATACTGGTAAGAAGAAGGTGAAGGACCTGGTGAAGTTTGTAGATAAAGAGATGGAGAAAGCCAAAAAATACAGAGTTAAGGTAAATTATAACCCCACAAACAACATCACTGCAGTGTTTTTAAGTTTGTGTGATTGTGTGTGTGTGATTGTGTGTGTGTGTGTGTGTGTGTGTGTGTGTGTGTGTGCGTGTGTGTGTGTGAGTGTGTGTTTGTGAACTGCCTTTTTTATCTCTATGTTAAAAATAAACGTCTTTCTTTGGTGTCTCCAGGAGGATGAAGACAGGAGGGAGTACATCGAGGCTGCAAAAGCTGAAGAGGCAAAAAACGCCAACAAAACTAAAGACGAGCTTTGATACAGAAAAAAAGAGAATACTGTGTGTGTGTGTGTGTGTGTGTGTGTGTGTGTGTGT